AATCACTGCTTGCAACGCTTGAAGTTAGCTGTGCAACCAGTCTTCCTGACACTGTAAGCGTTACTATACCCAGTCAAGTAAACCCAGAGCCCCATGCTACTCCCTGCGCCCATCCCGATCCCCCAGTGAGAAACACTAGGCGTAAACGTCAAAGAGTAGGGCATAAACGTTTGGGAAAACCGCACGGACATGATGACAACTGCCACACATGTGCTCTCACTGTTACTAAAAGTGATGCTGCCTTTGACTGCAACAGTTGCAGCAGGTGGGTGCGCTGCCGATGTGACAAAGAGGTGCCATATCGGTACTATAGCTTTATGACGCGTCACCCATGCACGTGGTTTTGGTGCACTTGCCCATAGCGCCGTCTGAGACCGCACCTAGCCTCAGGCCTACTCAGAGTAACCGATAAATCTCCAGTAATCAAAAAGCAGGTATCCGTCCAAACCACTGTCGCAGGGGATATTCACTCTCCAGATGATTTTGGCAATGGCCTACTGAAAGCCAAAAACCTGAGAGGTCCTGAGCCGAACAAAACACTGCCTACAACAACGACAACTGCATCCACCCCAAGCCATGGAGCCACACCAGAAACAGCAACCAGCGGACAACGTGGAGAATGGGTCAGGGTGGAAAAAAGCTCAAAGCACCCATGAAAAAGCACCTGTAGGATCGAATGATATTGGCATCACTGACCAATCTAGCTCTGTCATTCTGTTTAACGTTCCCGTCTGTGATGATAGCCTTCTGGAACATAAGGACAAGTTTGACAGGCAGCAGTGGAACTCCCTCTGTTCCATGCTAGGTCTGGGCGTTCTCGAGGCAAAACTGTTTCGACTATACAAAGGCACCCACTCACCCACAGGGGGCCTCCGCCGATGAGAGTGACTCTAGTCTCAACTGGAGACGCTGAAAAGTTTCCCTTACTGTCACACACCCTGGTCATCAGCAGATCGTCCAACATTAGAGCCAGACCTGACCGATCATGGGTGTCAAGAAAGACATCTCGAGAAGCAGCTGGTCCACTAAAACCCACAACCATGGTCGTACATGGAAAACCTGAAACGGTGACCGGTACCCCAGGTGAGAAGTACACACACGACGTCAAACAATAGGAGTGGTTATCGGCTCGGATGGAGCTGAGTGGGGCCGCAGCTGCGACAATTAGCAGACTACCACCCACCGCATCTGACAACCATGACCTCACCTAGACTAATGGCTGTCAACTTCGTATCCCCAGAAGTACTCACCAAAGTGCTGGAGACGTGGTACAAAGTCAAGGGCACCATAAGCGGTAACGTTCGCTGCTGTGAAAGCACTGCGACAACAACAGACAGCAGTTACGCCCTGTGCTCAGGCCACCATAACCCTAAACCGAAATGTTGAGAGTCAGACCAGCAACCTCCACTCAACACCGAATGCACCAGTCGACGAGGGAAAAAACTTAGCTAGGCCAGTTCCATTGGAACTGGCCAGCCAGTAGAAACCCGCACATTCAAAACAGTGCCACTAGTTAACTCAGAGACATCTCACGTTACGAGAAACACCTCCAAGTGTCTCTGCAGCGACGTGGGAGGACTCCGAAGCAAAATGCCAGAGCTCCGATCCCTCTGTTTCGACTTTGTCCCGAAAATCATGATCCTGACAGAAACATGGTTATCGCCAGACATAAGTGACACCGAAGTTAACATAGACGACATGATTCTGTTCAAGAGAGACAGAGAAAATAGGGACGGGAGGTTGCAATATGCGTGAACAAGTGGTTCAGAAGTTAACTAACCACTGACGCAGTAATGACAGAGCTCCCAGACTCTATCTGGTGCCGCTTCACGGTCAAACACACCGAATTCCTAGTTGGAGGAATCTATAGGTCCCCTAATAGCAACTTGGAACACAACCAAAAGCTACCCCAAGCAATATCCACAGTGTCATCTATAGGTACCGCCAGACTTTAATAGCTGGCTACTTCAATGCTTTAACCTTCAGCTTAGAGCAAGGTGGCACTACCCCGAGCCGGAAGTTCGACTGTAACCTGCTAAACGCCATCCAAATGGCTGGACTGCAGGAAAAAATCAGCGACAACACCCGCTGGGGTCAGATGGTAAACCACCTAAACCTGATTACCTACTGACTAATGATCCCCTTCTGGCTGAAAACGTCAGGTACAAGCCCCTCTTGGAAGTGGCAATCACGCTACGGTAATGTTCGACATGGTAATTAGTGAAGAGCCATCATGGAAGGGACCTCGCCCTCACCTATGTTACAACAAGGCGAAGTACGAAGGTATGAACAAGAGCCTTTCAACAGCTTTGTGGCCAGTGGATTGGTGTTCCTTATCGATCGACCAGCACTGAGAACTGGTAAAAGATGTCACTAAGGCGGCCGTCCCACAAAACGTTCCTTTGGCGGTAGCAGCAACCAGAAAGCGAACGCCATGGCTAAAACGGGGCACTGAGAGCCTTCTAAAAGCCAAGAGAAGGGCATGGCACACATGGAGACTCTCCAGAAAACAGGACGACCGTGACGCATACATGGCCCTACGGAATCGAAGCAACATGAGGGCGTGGGGAGACAGGGGGTCGTTCCAGTCCAACCTCGCCGAAAGGCTTGAGGTAAACCCCAAAAACTTTCGCCGATTCATGGCAAAAAGAAAATCGACAAGCCAAGGAGCATGTGTCATAAAAGGTCCGAATGGAGAAAACCTCTCTGGACAGGAGATTGCTGAAATGCTGAACACCACATTTGACACAAAGCTCAACATTCCATCAAGAAGGTGAGTGGACCAATTGCACGAACAGCCCCAACGTTACTCGATGCTACTGAGTTACACGAAATACAGATAACCAGCGCTGTTGTTCTCGACAAGCTTTAAAGTTAAGCGCGGAAAAACCCCCAGGGTGCGACGACATTCGCCCATCTGTGTTGAAAGAATGTGCAAGTACCCTAAGTGGCCCACTTTGCAACCTCTTCCAACACTCCTTGGATGAGCGAAAGCTCCCACGAGAATGGAAACGGGCTATCCTTTCTCCCATCTTCAAAGGAGGAGACAGACAGAATCCCAACTGTTATGACCCATAGCACCTCTACCAGTAATATCAAAGTAATGGAAAGTGTGATGGACTACCGTATCAGAGAATATCTGGACACCAAGGGGCACTCAGTTACGCTCAACATGGCTTCCAGAAGGGTAGGTAGGTCCTGTGCCTCCAACCTCCTGACGGCCCATGATCACTGGACAGCATGCTGGGATCTCAAGGTCCCGGTCCACGTAATTTTTCTGGACTTCGCCAAAGCCTTTGACACCGTCTCACACCATATCCTAATACATAAGATAGCTGGGTTAGGTATTCGCAGCCAGGTGCTATCGTGGCTGCAGAACTACTTAGACAACAGGGAGTTCTGCACGAAAGTCAACAGGGTCTACTCAACTTGGAGAACATCCTCATCCGGTGTCTCACAGGGAGCAATCTTGGGCCCACTGTTGTTCCTACTGTTCGTAAATGACTTGCCGCAACATATCAGCTCCCGATTCTCCTATGCGCTGATGATGTCAAGTTATGGAGGGCAATAACTTGCGAGGCGGAATCTATGGCATTACAGAAGGACCTCAGAACACTAGAGGAATGGGGAACTAATAACGAACTGGCATTTAATCTGGATAAGTGCCGGTCCATATTTTTCCGCACTCCTGATCCCCAGAAAACATCCTACTATCTCTGTGGTTCACGTCTATCCCATACCACAGTAGAAAAAGACCTGGGTCTAACGGTGACGGAGAAACTGGACACCAGTTCCAATTACCCAGGTGATGTCTCAAAAGCATATGGGGTACTACACTTTGTGCGTAGACAACTGGGTGCCCTCACCCAGAACTCTTTCTGAAGCTCTACAAGACTTAAATACTGCCCCACTTAGAGGTCCATAACGTCTTCGCTCCATCACAGCTGAAAAGAGGCGCGAACTTACTGGAGAAAGTCCAGAGGCGAGCCACAGAAGGGGTTGTTGGAATGCAACGAAAACCATATGAGGATAGACGCAAAGACCTAGGTCTATACTCCCTTAGCTATCGAAGGATACGTGGCGACTTAATAATGGCTTACAAAATAATGAGTAACCCAAGTCACCCAAACAGAGGAAACCTACAGAGTGGCCACTACGGAGATTCTCGCAGAAACCCTGATAAAACAGTTCACTAGAGGTCAAAAAAGCATGTGCGGTCACAGTTCTCCTCCCTCCGACTCTGTGGGTACTGGAACTCACTACCAGCAGAGGTGGTCTCCGCCCCAACTATTGACAGCTTCAAGAAGAGGCTAGACAGTCACGCAGAGACTCACGGTCCACCCACGCATAGTTGGAAAACGAAGTGATGTCAAGCCACCCCGACCAGTTTTCTTTCTATCGTAACCATTTGAGCCATTTTCACCCCTTCCATTTGCCATAAGTTAGCCTCACTTACCTAAGTTCTTCATACCTTTGCACCCCTACTCACCTTACTTGGGTGTAAGTAGATTACTCCATCAGTTCACTTTTCCTCTTTTCTTTTACTCACACAAACACTTTCTAGGTTTTCTCTTCCCTATCCCCAACCCTCTCCAGCGACCAGTCCTAACAACTGTCTGGCAACTCGACATCTGAAGAAGACAACTACACCACAGTCCAAGGCAAACAAACCAACACTTAACTTCCTGTTCTGTAAACCAGAGCTATAGCAGACGAGTGGCTGGACCTACTACATTGGAATCCGCCAAAGATCTGGAACCGTTCCGCAAGACCAAGAAGCGAGCGTGAAGAAATCAACTGGTTTACACAAGCTCGTTAAAAAGATATTGGAAAGCAAACTAGATTTTCTAATTTTACTGTATTTCTACTTCTTTATCTGTACGTAAGTTCACAACCACGGTAAGTTATGATCGCTGGTTCTTTCCATTTCGTCAACAAATATTTCAACGATTATGACCGTTGGAGGTTGGATAAGTTTATGTTTGTCGGTTTTGTGACCTAGTCCTTGGCTCCTTGAGAGCGGGTCAACTGGTTAACCATTTTTCTAGTTTGCGAGTTCTTGGTTTGTAGTCGTTGGCACTAAAACACGTATATGCTGTGTCGGACTTAAAAACATACAAGATGGATCTAAGAACTCAAGAAATCCACTCGGGACACTTTATGGTCAGTAACCTTGAAGATTCTGAGGATGAGACAGAAGATTCCAATGACTTGGGAGATGACATTCCTTCAAATATTTCCAAGGATTTGAATGATCAGCCTGTCGCTAAGGATAGAAACAGACTAATATTTGAGAACTTGGCTTCGCTTTTTAAATATTTGGAAATTGCTTACAATGGAAAGTTGACCAGCCCAAAATGGGACCAGTTCCGAGGATTAAGATTTGCCATAAAAAATAAAATTCGGCTTAATAACATAATTTGGAGAGAGTATCATATGCAATGTAAGTTTTTTTTGTTTCTAATGAGCTGTAGATGTTAAGAAGCTGAAACCTGTCGTCGTTCAGTTCCAAACACCAGTATGTGAAAACCATTCAAAAGCTGAAGTAATTTCCATTTTCTGCTTGATATTATCGTCTTAGGCAGTTGTTTTGGAAGGAAAGTATTGGAGAAGACGCCTGAGTACTTTGTGCAAGGAGTACAGCTTGTGGAGGGTGTTTGCTAAAAACAAGTTATGTGGGTCGCATAATAAACAAATTGTTCAGTGTGCTAACGAGCTATTGGAAGGATCAGAACTGTGCTCCTATAAGTTCAGCGATTTGTCAAAGAATGCTACATCTAAACTACTAGAGGAAATAATGATGGACATCGATGAAAATCTTGACTTGTTTTTTGAGCAACCACTGACATTTCCAAATCCACGAGATCTACCTACTTTAGGAAACGCTGATATCATGCAACCAGGTTTGCAGCAACTCCAGCCTAACCGAAGCTTGCGTGAAGATATGTCGTCCAGTATGTTTCAGTCTAGTGAGCCTAATTTGTCTAGTCAAAACTATAAATATAGTATTTCTTCAGACGTCTATCCATCCAATCATATGTGGTCCACTGCTTCTAATCACCCTGAACCAACTTTTGAAGAGAAGTGTATGCCTAAGTTAATTCATTGCAATTCAGTAGTTAAACACTCAGTTGCCACACAGGGCGGTAATCTATGCAATGAACATTTTAGCTGTAGTGGTCCATCCGCCCCACCTTGTTCGTCACTTACACTATACGATTGTAATACTCAAAGCCTGTTGGAACCAGCTGTTAGTAGAAATAGCTTTCCAATTAAATCGGCCAATAGCAACAGTGATAATGATTGTCATGGTCCTCATCCATATCGTTCTTCTTTTCCAGTGTCGCACAAACGTCAATATTCTCATCAGATCAAAGTTGTGGGTCAACATCAAGGCAACAAACTTCCTACTAAAGTACAATCAAAATGTGGGTCGACTCGGGGTCCTCCTCACACAAAAAATCGTGGGATTGAACCTATGCAGTCATTTGGTCATTACACAGGGTTAAATCAAGAGAAAGTTGATCGTAAGAACGAATCTACACTTTTGAATGCTTTACTGCGAAGTGGCAATATTCAGAATCCTAATTCTTCTGTTGATTATACGGATAATCAGTCTGTATTTCAGAAGCCATCAAGCTGTATATCTCCTTTACTTTGTAATGCTTTGAAAAATTCTGAAGGCTATTTTAGTCATTCACTTAACAAACATCACTTCAAAGACGCATCAGTCCAGCTGAAAACTGAACATGCCTTTAATAAGAGTTCAAAGGAATCGCCAGATACATATAATCATTCTGGTTACATATATAGTGGTCATTCGCCTGTTGTTCCAAACACCATACAAAATATCCTCATTGCTAATTCAGTACACGTTTCAGATGTAAGTTGTTCTGCATTTAATTTTTGTTTTATTTATTTGGTCAGTTAGCATTAACTTGGGCCATTCAACTTTGCAGTTAGAAAATCTTCCTTTTGTGTTCATTGTGATATAACTTAACATATATTGGTACTATAACGTTTTCAGGTTCACGTTTTGAAACATTTTCTTTATAATACTGTATTTGGGTATGCTAATAAGTGTTTTATTTTCCAAATTTGTGAAGAATATATTCTCACTCTTAACGTCCTTAAACCCAAGCTATGATTCTGGAAGTTAGTTAGTCTGCTTAAACGGTAAGTTCGTAAAGTCAAATTGAACATAGTTGAGGTGCTTACATAATCATTTTTTAGTGAAGTTTTCTGCGTACACCAGATATAAACTAGATATTGATAGCGTTTTTTTTCATAAAACTGCATACTGTCCGTATCTATTTCTAAGCTGAATGTCTTTTTTAAAGTATGGATCAACTGCCAGCCGCTCCAATATATTAGAAAGCTTTTTAATAATGGGTCATAAGTTCCACTCCCTTCAGCTACTAGTGTTTGGAGAGTTGGATAATATCATTAGTCTTCACTTAAGATATGTTTCAGCTTGGTGCACCAACCGACAACCGCTACTCTAACGTGGTGGTTAAGCTTATTTGTCACGATGCGATGAGTTACGCTGGCTGGGACGATTCTTCTTGAGATCCTGTCTTGCCAGATAAGTTTGTTGAATAGTGGTAAGACTAAATGTAGTCACCGTCATAGTGCAGGTAATTTCCATCAAAGTGAGCGGGAGGAGTTTGAGGGGAAATTGTGCTGTCGACTTCATGAGGTGTGACAGTGGCAAGGCGTTTCTTGGGAATAACCGGCATTCCATACAGACACCGCCTCTGCTTACTGTTATAGAGGATCTGTAAAATTTGGAAATAAAACTACACACTTCTCCCTACACTGTGGTGTCCTGGCGCCAGTGGTAAAGGTTTTTGTGTTAGGTTGACACAACTATAGATAAATCCAAGTCCCTGAAGGCCATGATTAACCTCAACCTGGCTGACCACGCAGACTTACAAAGACACCAATGGTCCACGGTTTGAACAGCAAGGAAGTACCATCTTCCTGAACAATTCCAGCAGTATAAAAAGCTGTCTAGTCGTAACTTACCTTACCCACGTAGTCTCCTTTATGGCCTGTTCCTATGATCATCGTTAATCTAATTGCACTTTCCTCAACTTGTTTTTCTACGACCGTTCCTGACTAAACCAGCTGAACACTGCCCTGCTAATTTTGCATTAGAGTTATCAACATATATACCTAAAATATTAAAACTCTGAAATCTTAAGCCCTAGATGTACTCTGAGTTTCTGAGACACACAAAGCCCAATTGCTATGATCCACTTGAACTCATCTGGCTAGTTTAATGAATCTGCCAAATTGCTGGTGCCTGAAAATCTGATGGGTTTCCGCTGTGAACTCTCTGGTGTAGGTATAACATTGCTTTGTAGAGCAGGAAGCACACTGCTTGACTGGATGCCAGTAGATAGCCGTACGTTTGCGTAATTTTATAAGAAGGCACAGACTATTTAATAAATGTGATTTATTTGTGGGATTCATTTCGAACAATCTGATCACGCATTTAATTGTCAAGGTATTTTGTATGAAGAGTGACAATGGAGTGGTGTAAGGAAAATAAATTAAGACAACATAAGATCTGGGAAATAAAGGATGATAAGGAAGAGTAGTACATTTTCACACCTCCCTTAGTGTCAAAGTGAGATAAAGATTACCGAGGAAGGTTTAAGGCAAGGAAAAATTGTTTCTGAATACTCAAAGGGGGTTTAAACTTCCATATAGCTAAGGCTTCAGTAAACCGAAGTATAAGGTTCTCATGGCTTCGATCTGATAGTTTAAAGGCTGTTTTAGGGTCACTCTTATGACCTATTTCGATAATTTGTTTGCCTATAGGCGATAACGTTTATCTTCCCCTGTATTTATCGGACAATTTAAATTTAATTCTTTTTCAGCCATTTAGGAGTATGTTTAACCACCCTCGACTTCATAGTTTGATTACTGCTCCCAATCTATGTCAAGGCGCACACACGCACATACACATCTTGGTACTCACGATGGGATGTGACGTAATCATCTACGTTGAGAAAGTTGACATTTCCTGGTTGCCTACACTAATAAATTCCAATGGTACATGAAAAGATATGAGTTTAGTATGAGTGGTTGTATTGCCTTGGTCGTGTGAGCACAAACCCTGAAGGACAGCTGCTTGACATCGTTCAGTTAGTCTTTTTTAAGGCTATGGTTTGGATTTATGTGTTGACTTCGTGTTTTAAAGTGCTGTGCCTTCGGTACCTGAGGTCCTTGAAGTTGTGAAGTCAAGAAAATTAAAAAAACTAACAACTAATTCAGCCATAGATGTATACCGAACTATGTATTTCAAATGGAGGTCTATATGCGTAAGATAGCACTGAAATATATTCTGATTGTAGGGAGAGTTGAGCTGAGAAAAACGTTTGGGACTAAGTATTTTTGTCGATATGATTTTCTATAACTGCCAGTTTGAGTTATATCTGCATGACATGTTAATATAAAATTAGATCAAATTTCTTATCCCAACTATCTTAAGCATCTCAGGATGTATTCGCAAATGTATGTACTCAAATAGTTGTCTGCCTCATCAAGCCTTATTCATCTGTGTGATCTCATATGTAGTTGAGGCGTGTTCTACACTAACTTAGTGACTTTGGTAAACATCATTATTCTTATAATTAGTAAGCTAAATGTTTGCAGTAATTTTTCGGTGATTTTTTCAGAATGTACCCGTTGCAGTGGCTGACTATGGTGTACCTACTGATTGCTCTTTAGAACAAAAATGTGGTTCTGGTGTATTTACTTTGGAGCCTACTTTGAGTTCCCACATACAACCTACGATATCTCGCACAAGTGTATTGTCTTATCCAACTGCCCATAATCTCTTGGTAAAAAATTGTAAAACACAACCCAGTAGCTTCGGTGTTTCTGATATTTTAATTGAGAACCCCGATCATTATTTCGTTAATAGTGATACTTTTTCTCAAGAGAACTCAATTGAAATACAGAGACCTCCTGTTGGAACTACGAATGATAAAATGATATGTGTTACATCATTGGATCGACAAGCTATAAGTGTACAGAATTTGGACCTCAAAATTACTGCTACAAAGAATGTACAAGGGAATTCAGGTTATATGTCTGATATTCAAAATACTCCTTCCTATAATCCACAAAATCCCATTCTCATATTTAAAAAAAACAATGGTCTTCCTGTACCCACTGTTGATCAAAACCTTTCTGCTTCAACTGGTACCAGTTTCACCTTTTCCAATCGTAATCCTGGTCAGTGCACAGTCCCAAGTGGTCGAAATTCAGAATCGAACATGTTTACTTTGAGAAGTAATAACAACTTAGATACATCTGTAGAGGATTCGAATTCTGAATTAGAAACTTTAGTACCTGGGAGTTGGAACGAATCTGAAATGTTTTCTCATGCAGTCGATATATTACCAAACGATGTGGAACAGTCTTCCAAAGCTTTAATAAAGAGTGAAAAAAGCCTAAATGGTAAGTTACATTATTATTTAATTGCTTACTCAACACTGATATCTAAGCAGCAAAACTAATATGGTACACACGACGTAATAATATTGACCATAGGCGATGAGAGAGTAATAAAGCTTATTGAACACGTATTCATTTATTCTACCAGAATATAAACAAAATGTTCCGCCTCAAAATAGACAACTGTTTAGAAAATCATCAGATATTTGCAAGTTCACAGTGGATGATAGAATAATTGCTAACTAATTTAAGTAGGCGTTAAAATTCAATACTTCCCCCGGTTTATTTGTCAATCTTGACTTTCGTGAAAGTAGGTTTTTTTTATATAGCTATTAGGTAGATCATTTTTTCTGCTTTTATTTTCAACGAGTTACTGTATTCAACTTATAAAGTGATGTGCGATGATAATAAGTCAAATTTCGTTTACTTTTATAACTAATCACATGCTTCATCATCAAATAAGTAATTCATTAAAGCTAACCTCACACTTCCCGTATTGATTTTTAGATGAAACTATATGGTATCTTTTGACAGGTAGCTGTTATATTGATTGCACTTACTTCTTCAACGTTAAAATATTCGGAGTTCAATCTTAATACTGTCTGTTTTAGATATTTTTACTGCCTTGTGAATATTGGGTGCCTTTTCTCAATATCTTGAAATAGAAGACAAACACTGCTGAAACATTTGTCATATCATTGAATTTGCTTGACATTTCCTATTTTATATTATAGCTTGAAATACTGCTTACTAATTTTACGAAGTTTCTGTGGACTTATGGCTCATTGGTTTATGAAGGGTTGTAGGTTGGGGCCCCGCTTCACCTAACGAGGTTTGGGAGGCTGGGTAGTAGTATCATTGGCCCTCACACAAGAGGTATGGCTGATTACCTACTGCATGAATGTGCACGAGGTTGCTGACTAGGTTTCGATTCGTTTTAGATTTTTTACGAAGTTTCTGATATATTTCACTTGAAGTATATTCGTATACCTTTGTTCATTTGCGTAGCTTTCAATAACTGTAGCTACAAATTTGAAATAATTTCATTTACTTACATGCTTGCATAATCTTCATTAAATATGTTTGGTGTGGGCGTAGAAAGCAGTATATCTAGTCACTTAGGTGCCTAAAAAATGATTTCTGCATCACTGTGTATAAGATGGTTATTATTATTTCTCCCTAGGGTTCCTAGTGGAACATAGGGCTTCAGTAGCACGTCTCCAGTGCATTCTGTTCCCTGAAATCTTTTGAACCTGGTTCCACAACAGCCCACAAGCTCTCATTTCCTCCTCACACGATCTCCCCCATGTCACCCTCGCCTCACACGCCCAACTCGACGCTTCCCATCTGGTTTCCACTCGATGGCCTTGCCTGACGAGTGATGTCCCCAGTCGGCCTTCTCAGTGTATGCCCAATCCAATCCATCTCCACTTCTTTCTGCATATTTGTTGAGTGATAGCTTCTTGGTTGGTTCTTTGCCAGCTAGCTAGCCAACCAACCAACCAACCAGCCAGCCAGCCAGCCAGCCAGCCAGCCAGCCAGCCAGCCAGCCAGCCAGCCAGCCAGCCAGCCAGCCAGCCAGAGTTCCTTGTTGCTCATTCTGACTATTCTGGCCATCTGATCTTCAGTGACGAGCCAGCGTAGGTAGTTGTTGGTGAATGTCCATAGTTTGTTGGAAATCCCTTTCGTAACTCGCCAAGTTTCTGAACCATACACGAGCACTGACTTGACGTTGGTGTTGAAAATCCGGATCTTGTTCACGCTTTTTGCTGAGTGCAGTGCAGTAGACCTCCACACTGGTTTCACATTAATGAAGGCCTGTCTTACCGTCTTTCCGATTCTGGCTTTGATGTCCTCGTCTGTGTCGCCTCCTGTAGTTGGAACGATGCTGCCTAGGAAGGCAGGTGAGAGAGACTACTTCCTTTAGGTTTCTCCCGTTGATGGCGATTGCAGCTTGTTGTCGTTGTTGTTGTTGTTGGTTGGTTGGGTATCTTCATCACCTCTGTCTTCTCTACGTTCACTTGAAGTCCCGTCTTCCTTCGCTGCCCTGCCTCTTCTGTCAACTTGTTGGATTTCGCCTGTAGATCTTGGAGTTTGTGTGACATTAAACACAAGTCATCGGCGAAGTCCAAATCTTCTAGGTTCTTTTCCGTGGTCCAGCCAGCGTACCACCCTCTTCTGACTCCTCACAGTTTGTAGCATGATCCAGTCGACCACAATCAGGAATATCATGGGTGATAGTAGGCAGCCACCTTGCTTTACTTCTGTCTTCACTTCAAAGCATCACTGAGCTTCCCACTGTGAATTACTTGGCATGTGGCATCTTCATATAGTTGTTGAATGAGATTGATAAAGGTTTTTTGGTATTCCGTAGTGTTGCAGCAATTGCCAAATTACTTCTCGGTCGACGCTGTAGAAAACCTTTTCAAAGTGGATGAAGTTGAGGTAGAGAATTGACTGCCATTCTATGCTCTGTTCTATGATGATGAGTAGCGTAGCGTTGCAATTTGGTCCGCACATGATTTGTAGTTCCCGAATCCAGTCAGTCTGTTCCGGTCGTAGTTTTGAATCGAGCGCATCCTTCAGTCTCTCCAGGATGATGCGGCTTAATATTTTACTTGAGGTGGACAGGAGCGTGATTCCGCTCCAGTCACCCTTCTTCGGGAGTTTGACAAGGGAGCCCTTCCTCCAATCATTGGGCAGGTACCTTCCCTTCCTTCCAGACTTTCTGCAGTAGTGGTGTGGTGTGAGCATGTCCACTGTTGTCCCTGCATCTGTTCTCAGTGCTTCTGGAGGGATTCCATCTGGTCCTGCTGCTTTCCCACATTTCAGTAGCTTTATGGCGTTCACGACTTCGATTTTCACCGGAGGATTTGTGTTCACTGGTAGTTCTGTGGTTGCAGGTGATATTTCTGAACGAATTGCAGGTGGTGGTCGATTCAAGAGCTTTTTGAAGTGGTTAGCCCATTGTTTCCTTTGTTTCTCATCTTTGGTGATTAGGTTTCCTTCATCATCTCTTATTGGTTTCATGTGTGTTGATCTCTTCCCTCCCAGATAGTAACCTGGTTATTTGATACAGTCTTATCACGTTATGCAGGTTTCTTTCCACATAGCTTTCAAAGAGTTCCAGTGCTATATACGGTCGAATTGCTCGACCTCTGTTGGCGGGTTTGCTTTTATGTGAATGTTTCGATATTGTCGAATATTCATTATGTCGTACTCATCTTGGTGACTCGCAGTGGATTCCAGGACGCGCGTTTCGTTTTATTTGGAACTTATCAGGTGGATGTACCCGCACCCCAGTGAGATGTTGTTCGAGTCCCAAAGGGAACAACACTCACTGGTGTGCAGGTGCATCTAGTTGGCGAGTCTCAGATAGAGCAAGACTAGCGTCCTGGATTCTACTGTACATCAACAAGATGGTTACCATAGTTGTTTAATGTACGTTCTGAAAAATACTCCTATGGATGGGCCAACTTTTAACCTTTTTACAGCCATATAAACCATAAGATGTGTTTTAAGAGCAAGAAAGGACTTAAAAATGCTTTAATAATAGTTCATTCAATGCAGACTTTTCAGCTGTTGGTAATTAATGTTTCTTGCAGCCTTCAGGATTTTACCTTGATAGTGTGGTATTTCTTGTCTCAAAGAAATGATCTTGTTGCTAACTCTTTTTCGTCATCTTAGACCCATTTTCTTGTTGTTACATCAGACACTAGTTGTTAAGGTAAGTGACTACCATACGATGATATTAAATTCTGGTTTGAGAATGAGCTATCTAATTCAGTGTGTTAATTAACCGATTTATGTAGGACTTTACATCTTGTCTTGAAGTTATTAACCTGATAGCTTCATTTAATGTGACTGCTGGTTTACAGGCGTTGGTTTTTAAATATTAGGAATTTTTCCTATCCTTTTAATGACCACTTCGATGCCATGCAGCTGGATGTAGCGTTTTTTCGATTGCGTACGAGAATCAGCAAGCACTATCTATTCTCTAAGTTAGCAAATGCTAATCATGTTTTCATTTTGTGCTATAAAAGTTGATGTGTGTTATTACATTGAGTCACCGCACCATCTGTACAATATTGCTGGGGACATAAAAGAAAATCCTGAAGTTTTCCTTCATTAAGACCAAGATTTTGAGTGGTACGTTGATTAGGTTCCATGTTGATGTCGACTGACTGACTGAACCATTTTGATCGATTTTTTCTGTAGTTGTTTACCCTAACTAAACTCGACTTACGCAAGTGTTGATATTCATCCTACCTTTATGAACATATCATTCGTATCATCATTCCTGTAGCTTGGGATTAGTTTTGCTCATGCACCAGTGTAACTTTGTCTCAATGGTCTAGACACTGGGTATTAAGCCGGTGGGTTATGGGTTCGAACACTGCTCTCCATCTATTAAAGTGGATAACCAGTTAGTATCATCAACTGCCACACAGTAGGTGTGGTGCATTCCCCACTGTACTAGCTCATATTTGGTTGCTGAGTACATTTAGGTTTTTTATGGTGGTGTTAAGCATCGCCGTCGACCTAAGATACTTTTACAGTCAAACATTTTGTGGGTGCTTTGCACTGGCTATTAAAAAAGTATTCACAGGCCTATAGTCATAAAACGTGAAGAGTACGTTATTGAGAACGAAAGCAAGAGTATAGCAGTCGTGCAAAACTCTTGGTGATTGAAGGGAAATTGAGATCTGGTCAAGAACTGGGTCTCGCAGCTCATTTGGTAGAGCACCGGGCCGATAACTCGTAGGCCGCTGGTTAGAATCCTGCTGCTACCCAGATTTTCATTTTACCCTCAACCATCACTCACTATCCATGAAATGCGTGTTAAGTACTTGTTAAACAGTGTCTATCGATGAAGTACTCAGTTTTTATACGTTGTTTTCCCCTACCGGTGTGTTTTATTTTATAGTCGCACTAAAGAGTGCCACTAAGCATTACCAACGTCACTATTGTGCTGCCTACTTTTAAAGTTATCACTAGTTTTGTACGATCATTATTTTTAAAAAACAAATAGTGCCCTTTTATCTATTTTTTAGTATCTAGTATTAACACACGGGCTCCTAATACTTTGGCAAATAGCCCATCAATGCGGGGACGATCTAATTCTGCTGGGAATCTTTTTTCACTTCAGCATAATCATATAAATAATCATTCAGTACAAGGTTCAGCAGCTACTACCTCGAGTTATGGTAGCACAGAGATTTTATCGCCCATGTTTACTAATTATAAGGGATTTCTGTGCGCCACATCTCCATCATGTTCTACACCTTCCGTTTCCGAACAAAATGATCAAACAGCTAAACAAGCCCTAGGAAATTCCTCTGAAGAACGACGACGTCAATCAATGCAATCTGGTTTACAAACCCTCCGGCAACTTTTAAAAATGCATTCCAATGTGGATAATGTTTCAGGGGGCAATCGTTTGGGAGGTCGTAGAAATGTAAATAGCGTAGAAATGATGTGTTCTGTTTCCGGTGCTTACACACGTGGTGATACAGATATGTCCAGTGAAAAACTTTCAGGTGGATTGGATTTGGGATCAGACGAACAGACAATTTCTTCGGGTAACGAAATAAGCAGTACAGGTCGGGCATCTAAAGCTGCAACACTAAGAAATGCTGCTGAATTAATTCGAAAGTTAAGAGACGAACGAAATTTATTGGAAATACAGTGTAAAAATCTTAAAGAGGAAGTTAAGGCATTACAGAATGCAATTAAGTAAGTGATTTTTGAATAATACAAGTTATCGTTAACTCATGCATTCGATTTTTCGCACAATGTATCATTTGAGTATTTTTGATTTCCCTGTGACTTAGTTTTTTATGTGGCTTAACTGTATTCAGCACTCAAGTATTCAAAGCCATGATAACTGAAGATTTAAAGAGTTAAACTGTATTTTTTATGATCTGATCGAGTTAACTTATGGTCATTTTACCACTAACATCTATCAAGGGATATTTGTATTCCAAAACTGTAGCACTGTAATGATCCTTTCTATTATCAAAATGTTCATAACTGATGGTTACTTGTATGAGATCTATTAAGGCTTAAACTTTTATCAGTGTTGGTAAATGTATCTTTGTTTATATAAATTGATCTCACGAATTTTTTTCACTCATTTACTCAACAGTTGTTTTCCAATTAGGCTTAAAAAGGGAAGAAATCATAGCTACTATTCTCCCGTATAGGACTGGTAATTTGAATCGAAGCACTTCTATGCCAGGTGCTACGTTGATTTTTTCTGTTTGTCTGACTTGACTAATTTTGTTGTATCTTAACATATTGGTTCCGCAAAGTAGGTAACTCTCTGCTGGTTTCTTGAATTTCTCCTTTGAATCCCTTAGGACGCCATATTTTCTATAACATCTGGAAACAAAGCAGTTTATTGTAGTCATTAAAAGTTGTAATTGCTACTTTTCTCTTCCATATTAGATGTCGATTTGATATAGTACACAGTGATACAGTATCCAATATAGATTTACGTTATACCACGGTATTCCAATTTCAGTCTTGTACGTTTTTCTGTAACTTTAATGTCAGTGTCATTACACGATATTTTGTTAATTCTTTTTTCTTTTGAAATTATTTCCTCAGTTAACTGGTTATGTTTTTATATTGCTGCGACCATAAACTCAGTCAGTCAGTCAGTCCATTATCAACATGAAACCTAGCATTACTGCGTGAAGTTCCAAGTTGTCACATCTCACATTGACATAGCAAGACAAAAGGAAACAAGATGAAAGAGAAACAGGGAAAAGATGTATTTAAAGGTCTTAGAGAGTTATACGACGAGAGGAGGAGAAGTAGTCGGAAAAGTAATGAAGTGTGACATGAAGATTATGGTGGAGATGATATATGAATGCATCTGTAACACTAAAGTCGACTACTGAACCATATCACAGTCTGCAACCATCGATTTTTGTTGTTATGCAGACCATAATCTGGAAGTCTACATTTATCTAGGCAGCTTAGACCAGGAAGTAAAGACTTCATAAACTGATGCCACGTTTTAGTTTGACTGTCTTGGACGTTTTTCCTGCCTAAACCTAGTTTGGCTAACATTGTTCATCAGAGTAGACGATGTCTAGGCATGTGTAATGTATGTTCCAGTCACCTGAGTCTAAAATGGCTCGCAAAATCATCAACTGTGTTTCCTCTTTCACTTACTTTACTTACATTTTTCATTCTATTGCGACAGATAGATAAAATCAACATAGAACCTCGCACAGAAGTATATGGGTTCAATTTAACACTCTCCACAGTAGCAGGCAAAGAACAAGTGGATAGAAAACGAGTGATATCAAAGTAGACAAACTGTATGGTAGGAAAGAGAATTTGAAAATGAAGGCTTTTGAAGATGTTAAAGATTGAATACATCTGAGCTGTTGTGATAGATTTTCAGTCACCTCACCAAAAAATGCCAGCCATTGATTCCTATTATGAAAAGAATGCTACTGATATGACATAGTTTTGGACTCAAATCAGTCAGGAGATGGTAACCGACATGCCTCTCAACTCTTAGGTGCTTCATGCTGGTTGAAGCTTATCGACCAAATCTGTATTATGGCCATTAAGCTAAATGACATTTCACTGCAATGGACTGTGTGAACAAGGAATCTTGTTGACTGACTCTTGACACTTAAAACTAGGATTATAAACTGTTCATCGGATGACAAATATGTGGGGGGGGGGGCGTAATGTTCAAAGGTGAACGAAAACATGAGGTTCAATCGCTAACCGATGCCAGTTCTGCTCCAATCACTAATGTCTTCTACACAGATATTATATTAGTGTGGTCTGTAGCTCTCAGTATGTCATCACACAAGTTGTTCGAACAAAACTTCTCGACTCACTCCGAATCGGGATAACATATAGTCAGTCTAGAATAATACTGAAGTTCACCATGCAGCCGTTGGATTCTTACCGATCTCTCTACGGCTGCATTTCTGTTTGCTATAACAAAAGTAATCACACTTCTTGGTGTTTTCGACTAGAATAATCTGTGTACCATGTGAAACCAATTTGATGAAATCTGAAAATTATGACCGCCAAGCTTCATCATTTTGGGTTAGCACTGACTTGTTTTCAACATATTTATAGTTCACTTATACGGCTTTAAACAGTACTATTTTAAAGCATTCCTGAAAAATCATTTGGTGAATTATCTTATATTTTAAGGTTTATAGCGAAAAACCACATGTGTTGTTTCCTGTCGTATGTTATTATCAGCCGGTTTTAAAAATGTGATCCAGAAATGTCAAAGGCCGTTAGATGATAAAATGATATGTTTATCAAACTTTACTTGACCATAAGAACCGTCATTTATATTATTATGGGGATGAACCAATGAAGTATTCCTAATCTTCTTAATGTGAAACTGTTGCATATTGATCTAGGCATTCGAATTTAACGAGTGGGTCATTGGTTCGAATCCAGCCCCACCTACCAGGGTCTGAGCAGCTAGTTAGTATCATTAGTCATCACAATGAGTGTGGTTCACTGCCCACTGTATGAAGGGGCACATAGTTACGTAGTTTATTTCGGTTTTCATCTTAATTCTTCAAAGTATTGAATTTATTTGGTACTACTTGTATTGCTCCATCGTCAAGTCTTAGTGAGAACAACATCGCTGACTGGGAGGCAGGTGCATCCAGCTGACGAGTCCCAAATAGGACGAAACACATGTCCTGGATTCCACTTCTAACCACTATGCATCATTATTAACAATCGCGAGTTTATTCTTCTCATTTAATCTTCTACGTACTCACCATTCACTAAAATGTTGCTTGGCTATTAGCAGTTACTTTTAACGGACTAGAACGTTTGGTAGAACACTTTGAAACACAGTTCAACTGTCCCTACAGTTTTCCAATATCCAGCCTAAACTTAGATGTCAGTCCTTATTCTCTCCTTCAGGTTGAGAAAGCTGTATCGAACCTGAAACGATGCAAAGCAGCGGGATCTGACAGTTTACCATCTGTATTTTTAAATGATGGAGCGAGTAAGTCGCTAGTTAAGATGACAGAGGTACTACGTCTTGTATGAAAATTAAAGGAAGTGTCATGAGATCGGTGCAATTCATTGATCATCCCAGTCTGTAAGAATGGAGAGAAACCTTTCATGACGACCATAGGGGAATTAGTTTGACTAATATTGTGTCCAAGATCCTAGGGTCCATAGTTACCCGACGCCTAACTGGAGCTCGAGAAAACAAGGCAGGTTTTAGACGAGGGCGAGGGTGCACTTATTCTGTTTTCACCCTCTGACAGGTTCTGAAACACAGACATACCTATCAGCCGACACTTGTTATATTTCTTGACCTGAAGACGGCATTTGACTTAGTCGACCACGAGGTGTTGTGGCAGTGTCTGACTGTGACAGGAGTACTTAAAAAGTATATGACGCTGATCAAAGCTCTCTATTCGAAGTCACGTAGCTTTGTCAGGGCTTATGGAGAGTTGTCATGTAAATTGACGACAACTAGTGGTGTCTGCTAGGAATGTCCACTTTCAGTGTTCCTACTTAACTTCATCATAGATGTACTAATGGACAGAACCTTAGTTACGTCTGACTTCACAGGGATTGATGTACTCCCTGGAGGCCATCCGATTGACTTAGAGTGTGCAGACGATACTATTCTGCTAGGTAAAGACGCTGACAAAAAGCAGGGTGTTCTGGACACGTTGAGCAAAGATTTGAGTATGTCTGATATGCATTTCACTGGCACCTGTCAAGTATAAGGTATTGCTCCAGAACTGATCTGCTGCAAGTACTCTCAGTTTAATGATAGTAAGTGAAGTGGTAACCTCGCCTGGTTAACTAGTTCACTAGTTACTAGCCGGTCTTAAGCCCACATAAACAGGGAAGGTTGGGCATAGGGCTAGCAACCCTACCTCGTAAAACAAATCCAACCACTAAAGAAACTTCAAAGCGCAAACAAAATATGAAAAATAAAAACAAAATTATTCCCCGCTGGAATCGGAGAGGCGAAAGGATGCCAGTTGGTGAAAGCCTGCCTTCGGGAAGCCAATTAGCCAGGCCGATGTGTCTTCTCTCCCTCGATGAAAGCAAAAGTAAACGTGGGGACATGGAATGTCCACACTATGTTTGAACCTAGCTGGCAATGCTGCCCAGATTGCAAAGGAGATGAGAAGGTGTAGCATTGAAGTGCTAGGAATCTGCGAAAGCAGGTGGAATGGAAGTGGACTCTCGAAACTGTCAACTGGAGAGTCAATAATCTACTCCGTTAATGTCAACCAGACGACAACCACGGATGAGCACACTGAGTTTGGAGTGGCTATCATGATGTCTCCCTCCCAAGTGCATCGAAGGCTCTCCTCTCATGCAGTGGGAACCAATCTCCTCCGACAGGATCAGGAGGATCAGGATCATGACAGCAAGGTTCAACTCAAAAGAAAAGAAGGAAGGAAGGAAGGAAGGGAAGTCACAATCATACAATGCTGCGCTATGCTATGCACCTACAAATAATGTGGATTGAGAGAAGGAGGAATTCTACAGACAACTGCACTGAACACTGGACAATCCAGTGGCCCAATCCAGTTGGCCACATGAAAATTCTAATGGGCGACATGAATGCCAAACTGCGAGGAGTGGAAAACACAGGAAGAGAACTAACCATGGGTGGAGAAGCACTCGGTCAAATGAATGAGTGAGAATGTAGAATTGTTTGCAGAATTCTGTGCATTCAACGATTTGGTGATTGGAGGCTAGGCACTGTGTTCAAGCACAAGGATATCCACAGGGCAGCGACGTGGATTTCATTTCACCAGACACCAGATGGACACACTACACTAAAAATCAGATCGACTTCATCTCAATGTGAAGAAAGTGGAGACACAGTCAGCCTACTGGACACAAGATCATATCAAGAAGGGGAGCAGAAGGGAGCAGGCTGAGACCACTCACCATCACCATCTAGTGCAAGGAACCTGCCTGCCTTCCAAATCAAGTTGAAAGCCTTCAGGGAAGTTGCTGATAGACGACCAGAGTTCAAGTTGAACACCGAGAACACAAAGTGAAGTGAAGGACGAAACTACAAGGGACATGTTCACGCCAGCCATCGAGACAAAATGGGAGGTATCGAGCAAGATCCCTGAAGAAACCTGTGTGGATGAGGACTGGAACTGTTTGAAAGCTGTGTGGAAAGAAACCTGCATAACCGTATTAGGAAGGAAGAAGGAAGGAGATAAGGAGTGTATCTGGACGGACCTCCACAAGGAAGGTGACAGAGCAGAGAGGGGAGAGGAGGATGGTGATGGTGATGGTGAGCAGTAGATAAGCCAGTGCAGTGCAAGGATGAACAAGGAAAAGGAGAAGTGAGTACAGTGTATAAAACACTACACTGGACAAAGAAGTGAAGAAGAGTGCGCGGAAAGACAAAAGACACTTCTACGACATACTGGCAAGTGAAACAGAACAGACTGCTGGTAGAAGGGAGAGAGAGAGAGAGAGAGAGAGAGAGAGAGAGAGAGAGACGTGATAAGACTGTATCAAATAACCAGGTTACTATCTGGGAGGGAAGAGATCAACACACATGAAACCAATAAGAGATGATGAAGGAAACCTAATCACCAAAGATGAGAAACAAAGGAAACAATGGGCTAACCACTTCAAAAAGCTCTTGAATCGACCACCACCTGCAATTCGTTCAGAAATATCACCTGCAACCACAGAACTACCAGTGAACACAAATCCTCCGGTGAAAATCGAAGTCGTGAACGCCATAAAGCTACTGAAATGTGGGAAAGCAGCAGGACCAGATGGAATCCCTCCAGAAGCACTGAGAACAGATGCAGGGACAACAGTGGACATGCTCACACCACACCACTACTGCAGAAAGTCTGGAAGGAAGGGAAGGTACCTGCCCAATGATTGGAGGAAGGGCTCCCTTGTCAAACTCCCGAGGAAGGGTGGGAAGCGACTGGTTGGGCGTCCAGGGTGAGGGTGACATGGAGGAGGTCGTGCGAGGAGGAAATGAGAGCTTGTGGGCTGTTGTGGAGCCAGGTTCAAAAGATTTCAGAGAACAGAATGGACTGGAGACGTGCTACTGAAGCCCTGTGTTCCATTAGGAACCCAAGGGAGAAATAATAATAATATTGAGTGAAGTGGTGGAAGATGGGGACCCCTTCACTTACTTGGGAAGTCGCATCACCCCAAGCGGAGTTGACTTTGTGGTACAGTTGATAGCCTTGTGATCATGAAGCCTAAGGATCAGGGGTTTAAGTCCTGAATGGAGTTAAAAGTGTAGACTATTGATGAGTGACAAAGTAACTGGCAATGATATGGTAGAGGTTATTTATAAAGAATTTTGTTTACGAGAATCTTCGTTTTTTATTGTTGTTTCTATACTAGCCTTTGTTGCGAAAAATTGCCTCCATCGGGTTCATTATCTGCACGACCAACAACAGATCAAAATTTTGATTCTTACTGTTCTGAATGGTTTCGTGCATATGCACGTAAACAAACTGAGGCGAATTGGAAATTTTATATATTTAGCTTAATTATTGGAGGTATATTCAAATCATATTGTACTACGACAGTTACAAATTCACGTGATCAATTTGTTCGCTCTGTATATGGATGGTTAGATACAAATTGTTCTCTAGTGCAGCTGAGACCTGGTAGGTTTTCATTCATGAACTGACTCGTTTGAAGTATTTTATAAATGGGCTGGTGTTTTCTGTGTTCTGTATTATCGAAGTACACAGATGTTTTACTTTAATGCTTAGCAATTATTGCATTAAGTATGTTCAATATGTTCTTATTATGGTGTATGTATGATGTGGGTTGCGAATTGTCTAAAGTTAAAAAAAGTGAATTGTTGAATTCCAGTCCAACGGTCTAGTGATAAATGGTTGTTTATAACACCCAAGTTGAATGTTTTGCTAATTTGTTATTATTATCAGAACGTAAACATAGTTCAGCAAGGGCACCAAGAAACGCGCCACACAAGATAATGTGACAATATTACGAAGACAAAACAAAACATTCATTTTTTTCCAGCATCAGAAGGTAGAAGGAAGCTTCAACATGCCGGCTACTGATTTCGATTTTGAGCCATGTCTGATAACGTCTCAATCCACTGAGTTACATGATCTCTCGGACCCCACCTAGAGTTGTGATGCACCAACAGATACTAACCCGATACAAATATCCTTCATCCCACAGCACCACGTTATACACTAGCCACTCTTCCGTCCAGTCAAAGGGCTAGCAAACAATGGACAGTATGGAAGCCGTTAGGAAGACATGCGTAACATATGTCCAAATCACCGAAGCTGGCTTTTCCAGATGACTTCACTTATTGGATGACGATCTCTATCATGCCCAAACACACTGTCATACCTCAGAATTACTTAAATGGTGTTGCCACTGAATACGAGCAATCCTACGGAGACAGCGATGATCAAACACAGAGAGTCGTTGCACATTCTAGGTTCTGAGAGGCCAGATTTCACAGGCGTAGAACAGAACTGTTCCCACCGAAGCCTTGCAAACTCGACCTTTTATAGTCAGACTAATGTAGTGATGGCGCATTACGTGACTCAGATTGGCGTATGCCATTCTGGGTTTTGATATACGTTAAGGATTTTTCATCACTCATAAAACTACTCAGATACACGAACTTTTGGACTACTATCAACGGCTCACCACCGAGGGTCTTTTGCTAGGTCGAGAGTATGCACTTGTGGCCTGTCCACAATGGCACAAGATATTTAGTTATCTAGTACTTTTTGGATTCCAAAACTTCCAATTGATGTCAATTTGTGTTGGTTATCATCTTAAAATCCCTCGCGAGTATTTAATCTTATTTAGCTTTATGTTGGTCATTTATTTACGTTCTACTTTTCACTGATAAATCTCCATGTTTTAAAGAGGTTACACTAAATTATTCTTAAGAAACTGTCCTTGTATATATTCGCTTCTTTTTTACAGTAAGTACATTTAGGAACCAGACACATGTGCGTGCAGTAAACAATGAACCACACCTACTACCTGGCTGCTTATACCTCGGTTGGTGGGGTGGGGTTCGAACCCGTCTCCCACTGGTTGAAAGTCGAGTGCCTAGACGAATGAGCCACAACTCCGCTGTCACCTGTACTCCTTACTTTAGAGTTAAGTCTTGTTAAATCTTCACCTGTTAAACTCATCTACAGTTTTGTCCTAACAATCTAGCACTGTTTATTATTTAGTGAATCTGTTAGCTGGAAATATCATTTAGATTTTAAATCAAGCGATTATTTTACTCCTTAGTATATTTATTGAACTGAAAACTGATATGTACGTGTCAAGATCCATCGGAAATGCTAATACATGTAGTATTTAGTTCGGATTCTAACTGCTTCCTTCAATATAGCATCTTTCGTATATAATTGACTTGGTCGTTGCTATCACTGGAATCCAGAATGGGTGTTTCATCTTGTCTAGGACTCATCGGGTAGATGTATCTGTACTTCAGTGAGTGATGTTGTTCCCACTGAGACAACGGGGAATTACAAATGTCAACAAATAATAATCTTCCGTATATGTTACAAACAAAGACAACTGCCTGATTATAACTTTCATGATATGTTACTAAAGCCGAGTTTACTTGAGCGTTATTTTTACATGTGTATGCAGTTATTCTCATCATTTAATGTAAAAATAAACCTTCATTTTTGCAAACAAAGAATTTTCATCTGATTATTTCTTAAAAATGTACTTCTAAATTTTCTTCAAAATAGTAATCTTTCCTGATGCATAACTTACTTGGGTCTCTTTTCAGTGTTCGAAAGCAGAACCTTTTTGTCTACTGTTTGTCTGTACATCTTTATTTTATACAGTGCATATTGAGTTCATATTGAACAATACAGTATTGTACACAATACTGTTTATGTTATGACACCAAAGATTTCATTGCTTATTGAAATAGGCAAACTTGTCTTGTATAGGTTGATTTAGCCAGTGTACTTCGTATTTCCTTCCATAATGTTGTTCATTATAGTTTTATTTGGTTGAATACTCATGGATAAAAGTGTTAGAGATTTACCAACTACTGGATACAATATATCCAAATCATAAACTTAATAATGTTATTCTTGTCATTATTATTACCACTATTATTGGTATTAGTGAGTAGTACGTCTACATTATTATAACGACGTTTTACAGTAATTTTGTTACAACTTGGTAACTCTGGTCCTCTGATCTCAGTAATCGGCTTCCAACGAATGAGTCACAGCTTTAAATGCCCATCCATATGTTGGGCGATGTCTTGGCAGTTAGGTAGGGTCATTTGTCCGCATGCAATAGGCTTGGCTCATTTCGACTTTTGATTTGTATAATAACTACTGTGTCGTATTATTTATGCATCATTTCACTTTGTGTCTACCTGCGCAGATAGCAAATAGTGAACCTACATGCTACTGCCTGTTATCAGCACAACATGCAGACTTAGAAGTCAACGTATCCGTGTATAATATATAATATGAAATTCATTTTTAGTTTATAATTGTTTGATTTCCGAACAAGTTAAGCTTTTCTTTGAGTTTCTGAGATGAATTAATCTGCAGCTTTAATATGACACCTGGTGCGATATTTCGTCGATTCTACTTATTGGTTTAAACAATGACATACTGACAAATATTCTAGAAAAAGTACAAAAAATAACATAAAACAAAGGATAGATGTATGCAAAATAATAATGTATATGCGATTTTATAAACAGATATATTTATTCATTATGGTCTGTTTTTAAGAGTATCAATTAAGATCTCGACGCACATCTTCAGTCTGGTGCCTTTCATGTTAAAAATCTGTATCTTCTCAAATACTCTAGATGTATGTTCATTTAATATATAAGTTAGTGTCATCTGATATAGTCATTTTTAGTCCTTTACTCTTATTCTGGGTAATATAACACGTCGACATATATTATACTTGTATATATATATATATATATATATATATATATATATATATATATATATATATATATATATATATATATATATATATATATATATATATATCAGCTAATTTAGCTTTTAATCCGCTTCTGATAATTAAAGGTTTGTTTGGTGTTTGCTCTGCTTTCTTGGTGGTGTTTCTGCAACAGAATTAGTGGTCAAGTCAGATAGGCATACAGAGTTGACGTAGAAAGTCACACAAAATTGCATCGATCCAATTTACCACACTTCACGGTAACATGCAAAGAATAAGTGGATAGAAAACGAGTGATGTCATAGTAGACAAACATCTAAGCTGTTGTTTCTCTCCATATTATCAAAGGTCTCCAGCCACTGATCCTTATTGTCTCAGTGACTCCAACCAGGCAGTCTCACTCCTGTACACAGCTCAGACCGATAGTCAGAGACCCAATGTACTGATGCCCCACGTCTTGGCCTGGCCACCTAAGCCTTCTTCCAACTTAATCTAACTTCGACTGAAATTGGACGTTGAAGTAGGCGCTGGCTTCGCATACACAATACATAAAGAAGCCAACTCAGTCAATCGAGGTTAGCGACCTCATCGACTGACCTGGTGTTGTCGCCTAGTGCCATTCACTTAACCTCAACATTGTTGACACAATGATCCCACCATACGTAAGTAGTGCTGCGAAGACATTTGTGTTCGAAAACCTGAGATCTCTTCACATCTACTTTCAACGGACATGTCTCAGCCGTATAACAGGACATAGCTAGTTGTCAAGTATCTACAACTGTCTTTTGTTGACTAGTCTAATCACCCATATATGGTTTAAGAGATTTATACATACGAGCCCACTACCTGCTTAGCCCTTGATAGGTGATTGAATATCCTATTAACTGTACAATTATCGTTACTTGTATACTTAACGTAGGTTTTTTGACCATCGACTGGATAGGATAAAATAAATGAGATTGACAATACACTCAAGTATTTCACTGTCCACTATCAAGCATGACATCACTGCAAGTCATCTCCTCGAAGTTATCATTTCAGGCTTAACAAGTTTTAAAGGACACTGGTATTGCCAATTTTTAAATAAGTGTTTTACAAGACCACATTTTAAGAAGCTCTTTGAGTAGCACAACAGCATTGAATTCCTACTTGTTACCTATTGAAAAATTTCTAAGTAGAGACTACTTAACTACGAATTGGGAGGTAGGATCAGTTACCTAGGTCGCTGAAGAACACAACTCTTAAAGAATATTTTGAATAAAAAATTTCCATAAGACCTGAACGAAATGTGATAGTTTAAAAACCAATAGACATATGTTGTTATTAATTAACATGAGTGAGTGGTGACCACTGATAGTACTCAGCGGTAGTATGTCAGTTTGAATGCAAAGCCTTCAGCAGTAAGACATGTCTTTGATGTTTTCTCCAGTAACAGAGATTACTGCAAAACCTGTTTGGAGAAATCTAGTTGAAATGTGGCACCGATAAGTACGTTTTTGTTTAAAGCTTGGTAGATGATAAAAACCTAATGCTTTTACCTCCTGTTGGGATAGAAAAATCATACCTTTTGTATCTCCTGTTCCCAGTAACCAGTTAATTGTTGGATGAATACCGATTCTGAAATTTCCAAATTTCTACTGGCCAAGTTTTTTCTCGACCAGTCTTCCTATCAGTTTTATTATAACTGCATTCAATAAGAAATGTTTATTTTTAATTTATAGAATTGTGACTCAGTGGTTTAGGGAGATGACTACCAACTAGTGGGTCACCTACCTTTTGGGCAGCCAGGTAGTATCACTAGCTCTGCTGCACGAATGTGCACAAGGTTGCTAAGTGCGTTTTGTTTATGGAGAAAGTTCAGTATCAGAAATTCACTTATGTACTTTTAAGGTATTCTTTCAAAGAAGTTTCTTTTTGGTGAAGATTAGGTATGTTGTTTTGATTTTTTAAACATGCTGAAGTTATATTAAAACTTACTTATATAATGATTAAATTAGACTCAGCGTTCAAATTCTTCCATGACATTCGTAACAACTATGGATTGATGTTTATCATAAGGAATCGGGTTGGCTGTCATTGACATTCACGTGAAATAAATTTGATAACTTGGCATCAGACTTTAGTTTTCTTAAATTCACATCTTCTTAGCTTACTGGTTACATTGGGAATATAGGTTATCATAAATGTGACGCTTGATTAACTAGAGAGTATAGCATCCATTCAGTAAAATGGTTGAAGAATATGCTTGAATAGATTCAGTTGAAATGTTGCAATCTTGTGCATGACGTTGAACTTGCTATACAAACAATTATAGATTGAATCAAAGGGGGAAATGTACTCAAAAATTCATATCAAGTTATCAAACAGCTATATCCTGTTTTACGTTCAACGCTGTTTTGTTGTTATTCGTAACCATGTATCTCGTGTATCGAGATCGATAAGTGCAAATTCATGTGTTATTGATATTTATGAAACGTACTAGTCACGAAAACTGACAGTTCTGGGTTTGATCTCTCACTGGGTGCTGGGGGCTTACTACTGAGGAGTCTCATAATAGGACGTAACTGCTGTTAGATTGTCAGTGGTTCTCCAACTCATGTCAGTCTAGGACGAATACTACCTTAGAATCAATCAACCAATCCCCACAAACCATCAGTTGATATACATTTATTCTGTATTCCATAAGGGAATATGAAGAAATTAATGAGCTAATGTTGTTTTATTGTTTATATTGTAATTGAATAATTATGTCTTCTTCATTATTATATCAACTGTCACACTCAGTTATTTTTACATTTGTGTTCACTTGTGATATGAACTGTCTGATTTTTTTGTGACTTTTATGCACTTCAAAAGTATCACTAGTTACAGTTTAGAAGTATTGTACTATGATAATCGATTGTTTAAAGATTCCTCAGCTTTTCTCTGTAAGACATGATCATAATTCTTAAGTAGAAATTTGAGAATTTACTGAGAAAAAGCCATAAATTTTCTCGATACAAGTGATGGTTTTAATTATTTTTTCTTTACAAAGAGTACTTTAAATAGTGATATTTTCCAATTGTTAGTCTTTTTTGGAATGAAGGTAGCATTAGGTAATAAGAATTGCGTTACAACTGAATTATAACTTCAAACTACCGGCCTAGGGATTGGTTCAACAACAAACTTGATTCGATATCACTTTGGTTCTTAAGTACTGCCTAGTATTTGGTGGTATTAAGTGGCATGCACTCGGTTAACTTGTGTTTATCCGTGTAGTAGGCACTGTCACTCCTATTGTGTGAGGGCTGGTGATACTACTACCTGGCTGCCCAGACCTCGCTAGGTGGAGCGGGGTTCGAACCCCGTGGTAGGCAAGAAAGACATTATCATGTCTCGTCAAGGAGTTTCAAGCAAGCAAGGATACTGGACTCATAAGGTTTTATATATATATATATATATATATATATATATATATATATATATATAACGTATGACCGAATACGTATCTGCTTAGAGTATGATGCGAGATGAAATGTTAGTATGGATAGCGGTTTTTCGAAGAATGTCACTATCCTGTAAAGTTGTCATCTAATGGTTTTTGGGTATGTAGGGGGAAGCATAGATTTATTAGTTGGAAATCTCAAGAAATGTTACATAAAAAATGGTTTTAAAAATGGATATCATTGTGTCAAGTGTATTTTGAATGGTTTAACGTTTGGCTACTAATTATTTATTATATTTTCATGCTATTCTTTTTGTCTATTTCAAGCTTATCTCTATTTGAGGTTTTCTTTTGTGATGTTTAGGAATATTTTCTTTAGCTCACGATATTTTATTCTGTAAGATGTATGTTTTAACCATGAAATTTTCATTATCTTTTTAGACAACTCATAGTTCACTTCTTTCTGAAGTTTTCACCAGTGATATTGTTTTAGAAAGACAACGAAGGCTTCATGAGTAAACTACTCAACTCCAATATGGTACAGTTCCGACTGACTGTGAAGCACTTTTATATTATTCCAGTTGAATTCCATCACATAATCACATAGGCATATATATATATATATATATATATATATATATATATATATATATAGTACATGTATTGGTTATCATGATACTTTTTATGTACGCTCGCAAATTGAATCCATTTGGTTTAATTTTCTTTTCTAGCTGTAATGCAAGCACTCTGCACTCTCGGTAAAACAACATCTGTTCTACAAGAACCGAATAAATTACCTGAACAGTCAAGATTATCGTCTATTGGCAACTTATTTTGATGGTGTTTAGTAGATCATGATCCAGTTTTTTGAAGAAAATATTACAACAATCAATTATTGATTACCATAAATAAACACATTCTACCTTCTAAATGTTTGCATGTATATGTGATATGATGGTTTGTCATTCTTCTATTCTCTCTCCTTCTCTCAACATATTGCTACTATTTCCTTGATAGTCCTGTAGAAAACAAAAAGAGATCTATTTTGCCATTCTAGTCTATAAAAAGGGTCATCTCTTATCATTGTGTAATATTTATCCCTCTTTCATATTGTTACTTTTCGTTTATCTTTTCTATACTTCACCTACTTTTATCATTATTTTTAAGATATACAATTATGTGAAGCCTTTCACTTGCACAGACGATTACAGTGAAGCCCACTTTCTTTTTTGTTTTAGTAGATTAGAGTTGAGAATTCCCTCTGTATTTGTGTGTGTGTGTGTGTTATTTTTTTTTAACACCCACCAAACAACTTAACTGTTGATATTCACTCCTTTGATGTGATTACTAATTTTTCTACAAATAAAAGATCTAATTAGTATGTTTTTATTTCAGACTGTACTATTTTGTCTTTTGCTTATTTGTTTTTTCTATTTTATTGCCAGAATTTTAATTCTCCTACTTCGTGACCTTAATTCACATTACACAAACGCATTCATTATACATCATTCTTGTTTGCATAACGTTATTTAATGCCTACCTTTAGTTACACCTCTTAATACCTTCATTGTATGTTGGTGTAGATTATCGATAGCGTTATTTAAGCAGCAGTCATTGTGATAATTGTTTTAATGATGTAATTTCCTTCATTTCATTTTTTCTTCGTAGTTTTCATTTCTCCTAGCAATGTATGTACATGTGTATGTGCACGCCATTGGTCCTCTTTTCGCGTTTACACACCTTTTTAGTCTTTAAATAAATTCACTCAGATTAACTAAGGATCATGTGATCATTTTAATTATCATTTGGGATGTATTCTATTCTTTAGATTTTGAATTTATGTCTGACATTTATATACGTCGTTAGTTTCTTTACATACAAAGTGCTTTTTCTCTTGATATTATTTTACTGATATTTGCGAACAAAGATTTGTTACATCTATAAACCGTTGTCTTTTGTTCTACTCTCTTTTTGTCAATTAAGCTGCTTGAGTACATCTATGTAATGCAGTTGCCTTCCCTACATCTGTTGAAAGAAAAGAGGATGAAACCAAACTATATGCATATTTCTATTGACATTTACAAAAATTGGAAACTTTTAATCCCTCGTATATATTTTGATAACGTAATTAAAGGAATAATTTTTGTTAAAACATGAGGAAGATGTAATTTTCTCCGAATTGTGTAGTGTATTCATTCAACATATACACTACACGATCTAGAAAAATTACGTCTTCTTATTGTTTTGTCAAAATTCACAAAGCAAACTAGTTGTTTCAAATCTTAAAAGAATAATTGTTCGAAATGTTTGCTGCAGACACCACATTTTTCAGATAACTTAGGTGTTTTAATTATGTTATCCAAAGATTTACATTTAATTCACGTAAAAACTAGTTCGTAAGAGATTTACTCATTTGAAAGAATGAAGTTTGGAGTGGTAGAGATTTACTGGAGGTGATGATAAGAACTACTTAATGTTCGGTTACCAGTGTTGCATTATCACGCTGAGTCTGAAACATTCTTAGCATTCATAATACTTGGAATATCAACTTATTTCTATCAAGATATTGCTTGTTTGGTAATGTAAAACTTGCCGTAATTATGTAATAATCCGAGAAACTATACTTGCCTATAGAGTACCAAAATGGAACTATTGGTGCAAGTCGAAATAATGAAAGGAACGATAGGAATAGAATTATATGAGAGTTTACTTGGTTGTGACTAGCAGAGGAATTCAAGACATGCGTTTCGTTCTATTTGGGACTTGTCAGTTGGATGTATCTGTACCTCAGTGAATGATGTTGTTTCCATCAAGACTTGAACCTCGTACCCATCGCTTCAAATGTCAAACGTTATCCACTAGGTTGCTGAGGCACGATAACCACCTTTTGTACAACAGGTATTGGTTATAACTTTTTGTTGACATATTTGTAATTTTGCATTGTTATTGGTACGAGATTCGAGTCTCAGTGGGAAAAACATCACACTGGGGTGCAGGAACATCCAGCTAACGAGTCCCGAATTTGATGAAAAGTGCGTCCTGAATCCTTGTGCTAGCCATAACCAAGCAAATTATTATAGTAAATATTCAGGCAATATCAAGGCATCCGTATAGGAGCCCATATGCCAACAGAGGTCGAACAATTTGATGTAGTATAACAACGAACAAATACAAGTATGTCAACAAATTGTAATGGAATAATATGTTCACTTTTTTCCGAGCAATATAAAGTGGCAAATCTCCATGATAGTTTGCCCTGATATTGTATATTTTTACAATCGTTTATGTTTTTTGTTGATTTCATCCAAAAAAGGTTCAGTTCAACAGGATTTTGCACTTGGTAACTTCATTGTATGTTATTGGACAGTTTGAGTAGATGGAAGCCATTTAAGCCGGCTAGTAGCTCTCACTAGTCAAACCATTATGATCTAAACAAGAATAAGGCCGTCCAACACATCTAGGGTAGAACCCAACAACTAACTTGGATGAATTAGCGTTTCAAAAATTTGATGAGAATTTTACAAATTTCGTGATATACACGTCAACATTTTGCAAAACAGTACTTGGTGAAGATTTGTTTGATTTCAAGGCAGTTTCAATCATGCATCAATTACTGAAAACTCAGGAATAACTGTGCTACTATTTTAGTTTGGTTTGAGATTGTCTATCAGTTCGCATACAAGATCCTAAACAAAGTCGAGTACAATTATAACAGCGACCGTCTGACTACTAAACTGGAATCTAAAGGTTCACATTTCTCAGTTCATCGATTCGTAGTGTGATATGACCGTATTACACGCTTAGAAAAGGAAATGAGTGCTATTCAAAAAAAGAAATGACAGGATTTGCTACGTACACTGAGTTCAGTTTATTCTATCTCCTGGTCAGCAGGAAGTTAAAACGATGATTGCAGTGACCATATAAAATAAATTATTACACTGGTAATAGTTGAATATTGAGCCAGGAATTACGGTAATCTTATGATATCAAAAGGGGGAATCGATAGTGGCAATAATAATCATCAAGTAGAGTTTGTATAACACGACTGGTAATTCTCGTTGGCAATAAACAAGTATAATTCAAAACAAGTACATTAGTGTTCATCAGTGACATGTCTCAAGATGGATATCCCGAAGTTCTAATGGGAAGCCGTGACCTGTGGGCTCAAGCAGTCGGAAGTGAAGCGGATGCCAACTGAAGGCCTTGTATGATAGTGCTGCTATGTCACGAAATGACAAAGTAGGAACCATTGAACTCTGATACAGTGGCTGAATGGTTAACGCGTTCTATGTGAGATCTGAAGGTCGTGAGTTTGACCCATGGCCAGATCATGGGATGTACTGTCGAAGAATCCCATGCTAGGACGAAACAAGTGTCAAGTGCTCCCAGATTTCTATTGGTTTTCTAACTAATGTCAATCCGTAATGAATATAACCTTAAAAATAAAATTCCGATTCACCTGAAATATAACAGTCGTATGGTCACTGTAAACAGTTGTTACATCTAATGACGACAATCAAGTTGTTGCTTATAACGAATAAGGGGAACCATACTTGAGCAGACATAACATATAGAGTAAATAATAGTGATTAAATACAATAAACAATTTCTTCACTGGCTAGAATTTCTACTAGTCGAGATAGTGAGCTTTTTCTGTTAATCCCTGTGGTCTTTCCATTCCTACACCATGCCACTAACTTGTTTCACATTGATTCTACAAAGCGGATTCCAGTCACATATTTAAATTGATGACCCTACTGAAAGCTGTATTTGAAGGCTTATTTATTTCTGAAGAAATTACTCTATGCTTCCAAAGAAAACTGCATTTTTGTGACGTAAATGACTTACATCGGTGATCCTGGTAAAAACTGATTTTTTTCCTGCAGATACAACTTTACAAACAACCGACCGATAAGTGTTATTCAGTGCTAAATACCGAAGATAAGTACTGTTAACGAACTATGTGTCACATAAACCAAGTAGGTTCGGGGCATACACAAACACTAACTTGGAGATAGGTGGCTTGGCAACAGTCTGTGGGCTTAAATTCTATATATATTCTATATTCACGAGTACGAAGTGTGTACAAGCTGAAGGAAGTTCATACAAATTGGTTCATGTCTAAATAGTTAGATAAGATATTTGAAGATCTTTTCATTGAATCCTTTTGATCAATACACTGTTACAGATATAGTTTTCGAATAAATGTTACTAATTGCAAGTAATATATGTACTAAGTAAAATCACTACTAACTTTTAAGGTTAACTGACTCTGATGGCATTGAGTAGTTTATCAAGACTATTCTCCTAAGCTGTAAATGGAGTTGTCGCTCATTGCTTTTATGGGTTGAATTTCAACAAGTCGGTTACGAGTTCGAACACCGCCCCCACCTACTAAAATTTGGGCAGCCAGGTAGTATCACTAACCTTCACACCGTAGGTGTTGCTCATTGCCTACAACAAAATGTGTACCAGATTGCTGAGTGGATTTCTTTGTCTTTCGTTTTCCTCATCCCGAATCTCATCGAATGTACAATTCCGCTTAACATTTAATTAGTCTAAGTCTGCATGTTTGCTAGGAATCTGTCATGATAAGTTTTTCCTTCAAAGTGAACAGGCAAACTATGTAAATGACTGGTCCTAATGACAAGATCTCTACTGAGTAACTCTATCAGTTACATAAAAAGCCGTGTAACTATCACCTGAATATATATATATATATATATATATATATATATATATATATATATATATAATGAGCACTTTTTGTTGTAAGTTATTCTTAAATAAATACTTTCTTTTTTAGAAAGCTGTATCTCAGAATACTTATTATTCTGTCATTTAGTATAGTAATCGAAAATAAACCATTGAATCTAACGAACATCAAGTGAAACTACACTCTTTTACTGTGACCTCTGTTAAACTCTATTCATTATTATGTCGAATTATAAATTGCAGTTAGATCATACAAAATCCTACGCATCCATGTGCATTCACATAATTTTAGTAATACAGTAACAGTCGAAAAAGGTTTAAATATGTACCCAATAGAATCAAATTTTGGAGGGATTAATAATTCGATATGATTAATGGCTTCAATGGTATGCAGAATACAATCTCTGAGATTTGGTTTTTAAACATGCATAAAAGTTAGGAACTGGAAAAGGGATAGGTGATAATTGTTAATTAATTTCGAAATTCTATATAAAAAATGTCAATATACATTTTTTCTAACTTCTGCTTGCACTTTAAGAAAACTTTTTGTCATTTTGGCTTATGTAGACTTGATAGTAAACTTCAAAACCGCATCGATTACCTTCATCTTCTCAGTATCGCTGTTTGACTTGAGACACAGAAATGTGTTCACTAAGTCATAAAGAGAAAAAGGTAAGTCAGTCAAGAAACTTTTCACTCTGAAGATGTAACTTTCTAAAACTGTACAGTCGTATTTATATTCTTGACAAATACTTCCCAGTCTTTTATTAGACTTTTCCCCATAATATATTAATATGGTAACCTTAGCAAAGTTTGCGAATAAGTAGAAAGTAACCTAATTTCTTAAAAATTCAGGATAATTCTATGATCGGTAATGCAACCTGGCAGTTTATGAGCGATACGAACCTAACATGCAAACGAATCGATTCTAAACGCTAAGCAGGACCTCAACCACTACAACAACAATACCACCGGCACGCGAAGACAAGAAGAGAAGAAGGACCGTCAACAGAGACCTTTTACTGTCTCAGCAAGCGTCAAAACAGTTTGAGAGCGATGCTGGATATATATGCATTTCTAAACGACTTTAACAACACTTAGTTCACTGATGACTTAAAAGAGTTAACAACCAATGAAAGTTCAAGCCTCAGAAGCAGTAGGGGAAATAAAAGCTGTTAACTATGCAAAAACAGCAATGATAAAGTTACTTTAAAGTTATTGACTAAATTAGGGGTATATAACACTTTCCCCTCAAAAACAATGAACGTATACAACAACAAAATTTAGTACCTCCGTCTCTTCGGGTCTATTTGGAAATGTACCGTTCGAGATCTTTTGCGATAGGATAGTCGTCTGGGTAAAAACTCATTTTTGACCTCCGGGGTTAGGTTTATATCGCTCGTAGACTGCTAGGTCGTATTACCGATCATAGCATATAAAAAAATGTTGATGATATGATTTGTTAATACTGGTTTTAATAAAAACTATACTTATAAGTCTCTTATTCATAACTTTACGATTCGTGTTGCCGTCAATGATAAGATTATCGCAAAATCTAGAATTTCGGAGGAGCGTAAAATTGTTTGAACTCCTTAGGAAATGGATACATGTATTCATTGCAATTGACAAAAGATAGAGTGGCTATATCTTTTATTTTATTACCTAAAT